GGGGTGTCCTGATAATGAACACAACTACAGGCTTGAAGGTCCTAAAAGATATAACAGGAATTATAACAATATGTAATTTATGACCCAGTTACAACTACAATAATGCAGTTAATCAGCGAACCAATAAGAAAATTGAAAATAAAGTGTCGGAAATGTAACATCTGCCTCAGTAAAACTGAAATACTTGGATTCAGTGCAATAACGTGCACTTCAGTGAAGAACTTGGGTAAATGTTCCTGGTGGTTGGTGATCAGGGAGGGTGCCACCCCATGCACTCCTGTCCCCGGACACGCCCCTGGACTGACGGTGTTTGGATGTTCCGGTGGCGCAGGGGTGTGTCTATCGGCACATCTGCCCCAAACCGAGCGTCTCTCAGAGACGTGTAACTGCAGGATGAAGCTCAGATCAGGAGGAAACACTGCGCCTAAGTGTCAGAGGGGATATTTCCGGGTGGTTTGGGGGAGTTTCCTGTAAAGTCTGACTCTGTGGGTCCGAATCCTTTCTCAGCCAGCCACACTTTCCTCTCTGATTTCTGATTTCTAGCGCTTTCACAAAAAGCTGAAGGGGGAAAGGATCCGGATGATCCGGTTGTCACGGCCGAGGAAGTGAAAGTAAAAGTTTGTGATTTAAGCTGATTCATGACGCAGCGGTGAAATCATGAGAATGAAAGCTGCTAGTTTAAACTATAGTTACTATAATAACCATAATACGAACAACAGAGGAGAGCACAGAGCACCTACCTTGACTGGAGGTCTGCATTTGATACTAGAGGCACACGCTGGGTGGAAGGGAAGCTCTCCAACCTTTATACATATACGTGACGTGTAACAAGCCCCGCCCACTCTTTAATTAGATCGAGCGGCTCTGACGTTTAATGAGAGAAGAATAGAGTTCATTTCACCAACACAATTAAAACTCGTTCATATTTCTGCTTCACCTGAACTCACCATCACTGATGTCCACTCACCTGCTGAGACTGTGGGAACTGACAGAAGTTAAAGGGTACCCTATGTATCTGTGTTTGAGGTCGAGAATGGCCGAGGCTGGATTTGTTGCGTCTACTGTAACCGTAACAGTTGGATAATAAAGTTTCACATGGATTTTTTATTATCAGCTCCACGCTGATCCACACTAACCCACCGAGAAGCCAAAGTCACAGAAAACCACAAATCCACAGCAGAAAAGGAGACAGCGGCTCGCTTTCTGTGAGGTCAAAGTTCATGTTTTTGGTCTGGTGGAGAGTAAAGGCGTCACGATTCACAACTTTGAGCCTCCTGATTCTTCCTGTTAAAAAGGAGTTTTTCGTTCCCACAGTCCCCAAAGTGGTCACCTGATTGTTGGCGTGCATAATTTTAGGGTCTTTACCATAAAACATAAAGCACCATGAGGCACTGTGGTGATGATTTGGTGCCTTGTAAATAAAATAGAACTGAATGAAATATATGATCTAAATAACAGTTTGTATTATTTTGAACATTTAGAGGAACAGACACATCAACACAAAGCAGACTAAATAAAACAGTTTGATGCTGTCGCTGCAACATGTCGCAGCTTTTCTGATTTTTGTTCAGAGGAGAAATTAAAATATTTTACGAAAAGTCAAAATTATGTCAAACAAACTATCTAAGGCTTAAAAAAATAAAACAAACAACATTAAGATATAAGAAGATGAAATATTAGGAAGCACTGGTTGCTCGTCACTAAATAAATGAAAAAACTCGCTGCGAGGTTTTATTGTTTTATTCCTGTGGTCACATGAGCACCGACAAACCTTTAAATAAAAATATAAAAAACTGAAAAACAGAAGTCTGAGTCGTCCTTCAGGAGACACGAACCCGTCTGCTCCGATAGAAAACTGTAGAAACGAGGTCAGAGGTCAGAGGTCGGGGGGGCGACGGCGTTTCCGTCAGCCAGGTTGGCTCTGCAGATAGGACAGGTGGTGTTATCCTGAGGAGGAGGGGAGACACAGGTGAGGAGACGGCGTTTAAGGAGGGGCTCTAAAAACAGTGGAGCGCGAACGGCGCATCCCCCGGAGTACCTTCAGCCATCGGTCGATACACTGGACGTGGTAGTCATGGAAACAGGGCAGAATCCTCAGCTTCTCGCCGTCGCTGTAGTCGCAGAAACAGATCTGACACCTGCCGGCCAATCAGCACAGAGACGTGTTAGCGTGCAGGTTTGGGGTTCGTTTGTTTTCAGCGTTACAAACGGCGAGCTCAGAGACTCACTGCGTGTTCCCGCCGCCACTGCTGGATCCCTGAAACACCTTGGTGGGAAACCTTTGGATTTCCCGCCGACTCAGCTTCCTGGATACCACGGCGCCCTGACGCTCCTCGAACTCCAGCAGAGCCTGAAAGACGAGCAGAGGGGTCACGGGGTCACGCTTTTCTGACGGTGACTCGTATGTTCACACAGATTTATGACAGGAAAAACGTTTGTAATAATTTAACGTCCGTTTGAATATCGCGATCATCGGCTCCGGAACGCGCGATTCAGGACTGAGAGTATGAGAAGGAAATCGGGCTCCACGGCGCGTCTTTCCCCGACTTCCTCCCTGAGCCTGGGTCTTTTTCCTTCCCACTGTGACCAAGCGCTTGTTCATAGGGGGTCACATGATTGTTGGGAGCCGTACAGCACGGAGCACCCTGAGGTGACTGTTGTGGTGACTGCGTGCTGTGTAAATAAAACTGAAGTAAAGCCGGTTCGAGTTAAAGCCAGAAATTTAGGCTTACGTGTCCTCCCCCTGCAAAGACGCCGTGCCGGAGCGATGCTGCAACACTGATGTGACAGGAACAGTGTTTTTCTGGAATGGGAACTAAATCTCTTTGACCGGATCAAAGCTTTCTGCAGCTGAGCCACAAACAAGGCGCCAAGTTCAGCTGACTCTGGTCGACCAATCGCTGCTCAGGACTCCGTGTCCCATGTGTTCTTGCTAAACCGCCCCCAGGTGCTGCTGCCGATGCTCAGCAGTGGTTATGATCGCCACACCTCTAACACCAACACAGAGTTAGGCTTTGATTTGTTTCTGCTGTCCCGGACTTCCAGGTAACCGGTGGGTGGAGCTGACCTAGATTAGGTCGCAGCACACTTCAGTTCAAACAAATGTGAGGCCTCCCTCCTCCATCAGTCCTCCGAGCCTCCTCACCTCGTAGTCGTTTCCCTGAAGGTCATCTGAAAAGTCAGGTATGCCGTTCCTCCTCCTGCCCTGCCCACGTCTTCTACGCTGACCAATCAGGTCTGCGGAAACACATCAGCTGCATCAGAAGAAGCAAAATGACTGCAACCTGATTGAAACTCTAAACACAGCTGGAGAATCAGGAGGTCACGGATCACATGTTCAGTCTCCCTCCTACTGACCAATCAGGTGTGAGCAGGCTCTTGTTTACCTGCGAACGCTCGATTAATCGCTGCTCTAAACGCCAGTGACATCATCACCATATCTTACCTTCTTCCAGCCCCACAAGAGGAGAGACGGCCGCGAGCACCTGAGACATCCAGCGAGGCTCCACGTAGGGATAAAACTGCAGAGAGAAGGTCACACCTGAGTCCACAAACCGAACCCTGTACCTGCACACGTCCTTCACTCTGTCTCACCCTGTGGTGACTCTCTTGATGAAGGTGATGGTGGTGATGATGCTGGTGCCTGCCATGAAGATCCGACTCCTCTCGGTCAAACTGAGCCTGAAGGACGAAAAGGAAA